GAAATGGGTCAAAGAGTATTTGGAAAATATTTCATACTGCTTTCTTTAGCTGAGATGTCACTGTATCCTCTTGATTAAATCAGTGCCTGGTGGTCTATTACATTCCTCTTAAGAGAGCAATACAAACTCAATGCTTTTGCTGAAACCTGCGGAACTTCCTTGGAGTTGTTTTTTTTACCTCCAGTATTTATGACTTTTATAGTATGTCTTTTTAATCACAATCACTTCCCGATTTTTGCTTTACTTATTTATAAATCAGGCCACACTGAACCTGGAAAACATGAAGAAATCAGTTCCACATTTTTGACCGTCCGCTGCTTATATATGGTGCATTTGGGCACACCACCTGACTGTTAACAGGGTTGCAGATTGAGCCTAGTTTTATTTTATGTTTTGCAATTGTGAGGGTTGTCTAGCCACATAATGGCCTCCTATATGTTAATAATAATTCAGGTCATATGTATCATTGATTTCAAACAACCGTTTGTGAAGTGAAAGTACTTTATTAGAGAAGCTGTAACAATATGTTGATTCCAACACAGGACAGACTGGATCTTTCTCTGCAATTAGCTGGAAAACATATGCCAAAAACAAATATGAGCAATGTTTTCGAAGCATATCAGTACTGACAATTTTGTGAGTTCAGCTTCAGTGGTGTTTGCACAGCAGGGAAGTATAGGTTGCACTTCTTTGTTTTATTTAATTGCCACAGTCTGTAGGGGTTTCAATCCAATTAATGCACAGGGAAAAGAGTGTGCCTCTCTTCCGCTCGGGAGCCTGACTGACCACGCACGCACGCACACGCATACGCACACGCACACGCACACGCACACACACAACGCCCATTTAAGTCTTGCAGTTTCAACTCTCCCTTTCCCCCTCTCTTTTTTTCTTTGTCACACACACACACACACACACACACACACACACACACACACACACACACACACACACACACACACACACACACACACACACACACACACACACAGGCTGCACTGTTAGCCTAATTTACAGGAGCTGCCACTGCGCAGCACGTGTGTATTAGTCTAACCTAATGCCTTCCAGATGCCCAGCCTCTGCACCCTGCTGCCCACTCGCTCTGAAAGAACGCACAATTGTTCCTGGGGTCTTCCTGCTAAAGAGAACCAGGTGTATATGGAACTGTGTGTGTGTGCAAGAGTGCATGTGTGTGTGCTTTCCTGGCGTGTGCCAGACAAAAGGGCAAGAGGAGAATTAGATGTAGGTTGGCATCCAGTGTCTGTCTGAGAGAAGCTTGGAGCGCATGCTGTCTGGCAGGCTGTGTATGTGCATGTGTGTGTAACCTTGTGTGCATGCATGACAGACAGACAGGGAGAAGGTGTGTGTGCACTGAGCCGTGCTTACAGTATTGTTGAGATGACATGGATGGAAGCTTCAGACAGATGGAAGCCCCTTCTCACCCTCTTGGCAAACTTTATGGGGTGTATCTGATGAGTTGTCATAAAGACTAAAGCAAGGATATCCTAGAACTCAAGAGGGTTTTAAGGAACGGCTGTTATTGTGAACAGAAACTGAGGCATACCAGAATGCCATTTTATAAAAGGATTGTAAACATAAATGTCCAGCTTTATAGAGATCCCAATGTACGGAAAGAGATTCATTAGTAAAACTATACAAATGTCTTTGTTTTGAAGATATGTCAAATACACTAGAAGCTGTGGACTTAAATGAATAGCAGGGATAATAATATAATTGTTAAAGATCACAAAACACATATATAATATGTTAAATGTAATAACTTTTCCTTTAAGTCTAGTAGGAAATGAAAAGATGATTCACCTCCCACACTGTCTGCTGAGGAATGCTTTAATTTCTATGATAACAGACCAGTCCTCTGACCCAGAGCTGGATTAACCCAGCGGGGGGGCGCAGGGAGGAAGATTATCTGCAGGTCGACCATGGGCTCTCTATAGGAGAGTATACCTGTCACCTTCGAGTATCCATTAAACACATCACACACTTCACTATGTATTGTCTAACCACAGATACCAACTAGAGCGGCCCAAAGATTTGCTTTGGATCAAATTAGGTTTTGGCAACTGTCTCCGTCCCCCTAATGATTGTAACGTCTGTTTCCTTCAGATCGTGGTTCTCCGGGAGCGTTGGACCTGACGGAGTTGATCGGCGTCCCCCTGCCTCCCTCTGTCTCCTTCGTCACGGGCTTTGAGGGTTACCCCGCCTACAGCTTCGGCCCCGACGCCAACGTGGGCCGCCTCACCAAGTCCTTCATCCCCGACCCCTTCTACTACGACTTCGCCTTCACAGTCACCGCTAAACCCACCACACGGCAAGGGGGGATGCTGTTCGCCATCACAGACGCCTACCAAAAAGTACATCATTCGGACACTCTCCTAAGTCTACTTTTCTCCTACATGTAAATAAAGAGCAACTCACTTTTTCAACATCTCTTGATTTTTTTTGTATAGATTGTACACTTGGGTATCGCGTTGTCGGAGGTGGAGGATGGGTCCCAGAGAGTCGTACTGTACTACACGGACCCCGGAACAGGGGGGACAAAGGAAGCGGCTTCCTTCAAAATGGGAGACATGACGGGACGATGGGCGAGGTTTTCCCTCATCGTACAGGGGGCAGAGGTCAGTGCGTGGTCTACTACATGGGTAAAGATGCAATGTGGGGGCATTTTGACATCAGTAAGATCTGCTGATTCCTGCACTAACAACACTAGAGATAATGCGTGCAATCGGCTGGGTTACACTGCTTGCAGCATTCGCATAAACAACCCCATTTTGAACTTTTAACCACCACTCTTTGTTTAAAGATTTAATAGTTTTAAGGCAAAAACAGGTACAAAAAGTGAGCGCTTTTCACTGGTTCACTGACTTTGTGCGTGTGCTCTTGTGACTCAGGTGCGTCTCTACATGGACTGTGAGGAGTATCATCGAGTGGCCTTCAGCAGGAGCCCCCGGCCTCTCACCTTTGAGCCCAGCTCGGGGATGTTCATCGGGAACGCTGGGGGGACGGGTCTGCAGAGGTTTGTGGTGAGTCCGGATGATCTGTTGTGTGTCTCTGAATCTGACACACATTTCCCTGCTCTCGATGTCAGTGAGTGGTGATTGTGATTGATTGTCGGATCCATTGCTAGTGGTCTGAAACTAAACGTGGCGTTTGGGCGGTCGCCTATTTTACAGTTGAGACATGAACACAATAGGCTTTCCTGGCCGCTTGACGACCACCACGGGAACAGAGGAATGAATGGCAGCATATGAGAGCTCATAAATGCAAGCTGGATGTGATTTGCATTTCTGGAACATGGCCGATCTCTCATCTGAGTCTTTCATCTTGAATAACTTACAAAGTGTCAGTGCCTATGCAACATGGTTAATTAAAAATAATCAAACACTACCGAGGATGCAAAGGGTGGGGGTCCCAATCCTATGCATTTCTTAAAAAATACCCCTGTGTGGTCATTATGGGCATGTGTGAAAGAGAATTGTTGAGCATGCAGATTGAGAAGAAGAGGTAGTAATTATGCTATACTGTGTTCTGCTCTCAGTGCTCTTGTAAAAAATAAATAAACCTGTAAATGCTGCAGCACTTTCCTTCCAATCACAGAGCTGTGTTTGTCCCAGTGTAACAGGGGGGATGATGAGGAGAACATAGTTTAGTGGTAAGGGAAAAGCTCTATGCTAAGGATACACAAGGAGAAATTATATTTATCTGAGCCATTAAAAAAGGTTTCAGAGTTTTCAATATTATCAAGATGTAAAAATCTGAAATGTTTCCATAAAAAGTTTTAAACACATATTGGCAAAAATCTTTTTTTTGAATAAATCACTTTTTATGCTGCCCTGGGAAATTTGTTCTCATCTCCTTGGTCTTTTGTTTCCAGGACAGTGGAAAGAAGTTCTTATTGCTTTTTTCCACTCATTAAGAATTTATTAGAGAAATCCGAGGAGAGTTTTAAAGAAATCCAATGAGCCAGGAAAGGAGAAATGATGTGTATTCTGATTTGATGGGGTCTCACAGGGGAGTCCAATATTCTGTTCACATTCAGTCTTGACCTATAGAGGGAAAGTGACCACTAGACTTTATAGACTTGATATTGTGTCTTTGTGTGGTGACGGGAACACTGGACTGATAATAAGGACAACAGGAAGTTATTACTCCCTAGTGTTGTGATTCAATTTAGTATAGTTCTAATTAACTTGTTATTTCATCCATTGAGCCTTTGACATTTTGACAAGCCTTGAGGGAAGGAAATCTTTTTCAGTTTCATCTTTACTAAAATACATCCAATATAAAGCCTACTGCGCAACAGCAGGCAGGTTCTTTTTCATTTGGAAAGAGCCAGGCTAGTCTTTTCCTTTCTTTATGCCCAGCTAAGATAAACCTCCCAGGTGCACGTACAAGGGAAAGCATGAAAAGGTTCTTTTATTATGCAGAAAAACTTTATTATCAAACCGGCGCTAGCATCAAAGTCTAGCTTCACATTTAGCATAGAGATGTGAAATTGATTTGTATCGATTTTGAGAAGAAAGCATTACAGTTGTATCTACTTTCTGCCACATGGGAGAGCTTTCAAGGCTTTCTCCCAGAAATCTATTTAGAATCAGCAACAAAACTACTTGGTTAGGTTAATTAAAAAAATCATGGTTTGAGTTCAAATAGACCGTTATAATTTGTACTTAATCCGAACATTTGGACCTACAGCAACGCCTTACGAGATAATGCTTTGATCAAGTTGACCTGCAGCTGTCTCTCTTCTATCTCCTCTCAATAAGCTCCATCTCTTTCACTACTCCCTCCTTCTCTATTCACACAGTCCTCCCCTCTCAGACAAAGAAGTCCGTAGTGACTCTCTGCTTCCAGCTGTTCAGTGTTTGACCTGGCAGCTTCTTGGAAAGCAACAACAGTAGCTCTCTGCAGAAACACACTCACACCTTTCCTTAGTTTCACTGCTGGGTGTTGGAAAGGGTTTGTGTGTTGCTGGAACCATCTTTACATGTTGTGTGAAATAGAAAAAGTGTGTGTGCAAATACTTTTTCGAAGTCTCCCTGAGCTACCGAGTGTACTGTACAACCTAACACGTTGACAATGCACAGATAAATGAACCATAGATCTGACTGCATTCATGTTTGTGTGTCTGTTTTTTGAACATGTAGACACTTACAGTATAGGAGCATGTGTGGAAGCAGTGTTCTGTTTTATACAGTAGTCTTATTCGTGCAAGTTTTCCAGCATGCAACTTTAAATGCATCCATCACACAGCCTGCCTTCAAGTGTTTGGATTTATTTCACTTAGTTGCCTTTCAGATCAGTACCAAAAACTGACGTTAAATTCACACCCACTTGCATGGCACCTGCTTTGTTTAATGCAGATGTGTTGTTTACTGCACAAACAGATGTTTCTAATTGAGTTGCTTTCTTTCTCTTCCTCTCTCTTTCTCACTACTTCACCAGCATTACATTTCATCGGGCCGTGCCTCACTCCATGAGAAACAGGCGTTTGTCCTCTGGCTCCAATTCAGTATCAATAAACTTGACTGAAATTGCCTTTAGCAAGTTTTTACTGATCTAATAAAGCGCCTCTCACACCTAAAGAACCATTTGCACACTAAATAATGGAAAAGCAAGCGTTCCTACTTTCCTTAATGTGGTCCCTTTTTTCATTGCCTTACATCAAATACACCCACGCATGCAGGTTAAAGGGATTCAAAGTCTTTGTAATAACTAGTCAGAATAGTGACAGCCAGAATCGACCTGGCAGACTTTCCATGGTTCCGCTGGTACATTTGATAGAAATATAATCAAATATATTTTAATGACCTATAGCTGTTACATTTCAAGCCTTTTGTTTGACTTCTTAAACAAAAAAAGCTGTAGTTAAAAGCCATGATCAAATGTTTCCACTACAATGAAGTACCGGTAAATCTGTTTTGAGATCAGTTTAATTTCCAGATGTATGTGTGTGTTACACTCTGATAATGTGTGGGATAACGAGGAAGAGGGATAGATCAACTGAAACGCCGACAGACAGAGGCATGCTGCTTTGTGTGAAATGTTATTAAGATTTAATTAAATGTAATGACATTTACTGCAGGGCTCCATCCAGCAGCTGGTGCTGAAGTCAGATCCCACGGCCCCAGATGACCAGTGTGAGGAGGACGATCCCTATGTGAGTGTGCACACACACGCACGCACACACGCACACACACGCACACACACACAGACATTCTCAACATGTCGCTATTCCTCCCTCTACTGGTGAACTATATGCACAACAGTTTGTATGCATATACTTCTGTGTAGTAAGGTCACTTGTATGCTATGGAGTTACATTTTTAAATACTTTGCTTTCAACAAATTGGCGCAGAATCATCCTGTTACAACATCACATTTGCATGAAATAAATAAATCGATAAATTAATAAAACATGTATTTAATGTACCTTTCAATCAGATTCATGCTGTTCCAAATGCTTCTCAGATGAAGGATGAGCTGAATTTAAGACCCAAAAAGTGTAGACTGTGAAAACAAAATGTTGCTTTTTCGTTTTCTAAGTGTCTTGCATTGTTATGAGAAAAATCAACAATTTTTTTAAAGTAAAAGTTGAGCTGTATACAGTCTAATTAAAGTCATGACAGAAACTGGGAAACAAAGGATGTTTTTTTTGTAATTTTCTCCGTAGGCCTCTGGGTATGGGAGCGGTGACGATGCTTATGACGACTTGGAGGGAAGAGACGAAGTGAAGAAGATTGTGAACACCATGGTGTGTGTTTCTTTTATGAGCTTCTTTACTATTGAATCTTAAGAGTAGACATTGCATCCTGGTACATCTTGTAACGTCCAGCATGTGTCTGCAACACTCCACATAACAAATAAAAACATGCAGAGCCCTACTTGAACTCTTCTTTAATCTTCCCAGCCCCTCCCAGAGCTGGACCCCTCCTACAGCGCCCCTGTCCAAGCGCCCCCCACAGAGATGTCCCGGGCCTTCGTAGATGATGATGATGATGATGAAGACATAGAGGAGACTTCTGGACAGGAAGTGGAGAAGACCACAGTAATAGGTATAACAATTACCTTTGTATTTGATGTTGTTTACAACAAAGTATAATTATTAATAATATACTGACATAGAAGTAGTGCTATTCAATATAACAATAGTGTATATACTGGTGTGAGACTAGATATTGTCTCAGATCTTGGAGAATGTAACATGGCATGAGTGTTGTCTTTTCCTGTTTTTTAAATGCTGCATTACAATGTCATGCCATTATTCTAAACTTGTTAATCAATCATTATATATTCTTTACTGATTATTATACAATAACAAGGGTTTTGATCAAACATAATCCTATATTTAAATATCTCCATATCACCCAGCCCAACATGGAAGTAATGCTGAAATTCTCTGGTGGTGTAATTCCCAAATTATCCAGAAGATGGTGCTAAAGACACATAAAAACGTTCTCTGTTTTCTCTTATCTTTCCTTTGTCCTGCACTAAATATATTCCAGTATCCATACTACCATAACATTAGGTATGCCCGAAAGTAAGCGGATTTTAATTGTGTATGTCCTCACTTTTTGTCTTTGTTTACAGTGAACCCATCTCCAACAGTTACTCCAGCCTCCATACGTGAAACTGTAAGTTAATTTTCTTAGAGTTAATTGGATGACTATGATTATTAGCACATTACATTTTGAAGATGTGATGCAATACATGTATCTGTGTGGTTGTGAATTCAAAAATGTAAACTATATGATGACTTGTTATATTCCAGTGAGCTAATCAATCATTTAATGACTCTGTTTATTCATCATCCAGTCCCTGCAGGTGTCTTCAGCACAGAAAGGAGAGCAAGGTGAGCCAGGTCCATCTGGGCCCCCCGGCCCTCCAGGAACAGCCTCAGGAGGGGGCGAGGGAGGGGAACCGGGAACCCGGGGGCCACAGGGACCAGCGGGGCCCTCAGGCAAACCAGGGGCTTCTGGGAAAGATGGACAGGCTGTGAGTTCATCCGTTTGTTTGGTTGCTTTATTTCCAATATTACATTTATTTGTTGCTGTTTATTACATGTATAGAGGTGTAGAGTGTATAAGGCTATGTTTTCTTTTTAAATTATTCATATTAACTCTTGAGCTGCTGCTCTTATATTTTCTTTCTATTTACAGAACATTCAAGCATTATTTAGAAAATTCTGTTAAGATAAATGATTGATTGGTGTTATACTTTTGTCTTTTCTCCAGGGAAGCAAAGGTGAAACTGGTTCCCAAGTAAGTACAATCTTTATTAGTCGATGTATAGGTTCAATATTTCGGTATCTCTTGGTGAACCTCTCATGGTGCAGAAATGCACCAATTTTCATCTGAAGATTAATACTAACATTTATAGACTAAGGTGACAATAAATGAGTGTCACAGATAGATTAAGTTATCTATCTGTGACCCCATTATGATATCACTGTCTGTCATGGGGGGATATCTCATGAAGCATTGAGCACAGCTGTACCTGTCTTTTTTTCCCAGGGAGCCACTGGGGTTCCAGGATTCCCAGGACTGCAGGGCGACTCTGGTCCTATTGGAGAGAAGGTAAAGAATGCTCCTGTTTTAAATGGATAGTTTGGTTTATTGAAGTTGAGCTGTATGAGGTACGTATCCATAGTATCAGCGTTATGAACAGTAGATACAGTGCCAGAAAGGAGCTATTACTGTTTCTGCCATTAAGTCTAATGCAGCAGCTAAATGGATTTTATTTAGAATAAATTATATATTTCAGTGCTCTACCTTGCAGCTGTTGAAAAAAATGTGTTTTGTATCTTGCAGAAAGCCATTGTTTTGTCACTAGTGAATCACTAAATGTAGGATATAAAAACCCCTCTGCTTTGTCCTTCAGGGTGATCCTGGTCTGGGACGCCCGGGTCCTCCGGGCCCACCTGGACCTGCAGGTCCAACCAGCAAGTCTTCCATGTTCCTGGTAGGTTATTAAAAAACACATTTTTACCTTCTGTTAATCCTTAAACAATCTGGTGAACTGCAGTTGTTAACGGCAGTTGATTCAGAAATGAATATCAAGGAGGCTAATTGTATAGAAGTCTATGAGAAAGTGATTGTACAACTTATTTAAAGAAGCCCAGGAAACCTCCTCCTAATGAGTGATGATGTTGTGTGATCACCAGGAGGGGTCAGGAGGGTTAGAAGACTTTGACAGTGATGCAGAGATTATGAGGGTAAGTTAACTTTGTTTTTGCTCTCTTTGTTTGGTGCGTCTAATAAATAAGCTTTCTTTTTCTTTTTCTTAATTAATTATAACAGCATGTGTATATTGGGAAACCTTATAAATATGGCTAGGTGCATTATAAAATAATTTGGCTAAGACTGATTTGATGTGCTGCGAATAGCTTTTAATATATAATTGACTGAGTACCGTAATTTTCGGACTATAAGGCGCACCTGAATATAAGCCGCAGCAGCTAAATTGAATGATGTGTACATATATAAGCCGCACTGGACTATAAGCCGCAGGTGTTTTAATGTTTAATTACCATATGTAAGGGTTCGTGCACAGAGGGGATTGTCGGGAAAGAGATGGCTGTTTGAGGAAGCTCCCATTTATTAACATTTCAACAAACAAGTTGTATATTTGCATAACGTATTCAAGTGTTACCATTTAGTGCAATAGTAGCTACAGAACATGTACTGTGCTGTGTAAACTGTACTGTATCACATAGCGTTTCAGACACACAAACTTTTCAACTTTCAAACTTAAACGGTGCGCTCCCAGCGCACGTACCGGCAGTGATCTACAGCAGTGGTTTCCAACCAGTGGTACGGGGACAAACTGTCTCGCTCTCGTAATGTCTGTCTGTCTTGCTCCCGTTCTGTCTCTCGTACCACTCTCGGTTCCACTTTTACTTTTGCGCGCTACCTGTCTCACTCTTTTCCGGCCTCCAGCTTTTCCTGCTGGAGCCCGCCGCTTAAAGGTGGGGGGCGCGGACCGGCCATAGAGCCCATAGAGTTAAAGGTGGTGGACTGTAACCTGTAAATTCCATAGATTTAGGAGGTCCCCTAGAGGCCGTTAGCTATAAAAATCCATAGATTAGCCGCACCGTTATATAAGCCGCAGGGTCGAAAAATTGGAAAAAAGGCGCGGCTTATAGTCCGAAAATTACGGTAGTTTATTTGGTGTGCTACAGCTCTATTCAGAGAAAACGTTGTCACCTCGTTGCACTTTAACACTAACATTCCCTTTTGCGTGACCATCAGGGGCCTCCAGGGCCACCAGGCGTCCCAGGGCAGCCGGGGCTTCCAGGAGCCCAGTCTGAGAACATGTTTCCTGGATCACCTGGGGCCCCTGGGAAAGATGGGAAGGATGGACAGAGGGGGGAACCTGGAATTCCTGTAAGTTTAACTTCTTCCTTTTTCATATTCTGCATGTACAGTTTATTAAAAAGGCTAAAACACAAATAAATAATCCTAATATAATGTTTACCGTACATATCATACATGATACATATGTATATCATCTGTTAATTGTACTTGAGCAAGCAATGTAAAGGTTCTTTAGAACACACATTTCCAGGGAACATGTGCATTTCTGACCGGACGTGTGTTTTCAGGTAATTGAGGAGTGGTTTAGTGGCACTGGTTCTGGCTCTGGTTCTGGCTCTGGTTCTGATTCAGGGTCTGGGTCTGGGTCTGGTTCAGGGTCTGGGTCTGGTCAGGTATTAACATGTAGTCCCTTTAGATCTAAGGGACTGAAAAGACAGTATTTCCCCCAACGTTTTATAAAAGACCCATGTTCATTTCCTGGTGTGTGTGTGTGTGTGTGTGTGTGTGTGTGTGTGTGTGTGTGTGTGTGTGTGTGTGTGTGTGTGTGTGTGTGTGTGTGTGTGTGTGTGTGTGTGGGGTGGGTGGGTGGGTGAATGAGACCATTTTGAAGTGTGTGCATTCACTACAAGTGTGTTTTTATCGTTACATATTTAAGCATCCATGTACCAACAATTATTTATGCTCCAGCTACAGCAGCAACACTTTGGCAGAAACTAGCGCTTCACAACATGGTCAACGCTGCAGCATCTGTTGGGGGAAATGTGTCTTTTGTATTTCAAATATTAGATGCTTTTACTAACTGTGTGACTGGACTACTCACAGGTCTACTGCAGAACTGTTTAGTGCCTAATGTGTATTCACTTTGAACCCATTAGCTTTGTCGAATATGTTCTCATTCAAAATAGCATCAATCTTTGGAAAAATGAGAATCATACCATTTTAAAACATATATGAAAAAAACCTATGCATGTGAATCTGAATTGATAACACTCTTGCTTCTGCAGGGAGTTGATGGAAAAGATGGCGATCCCGGATCTGCTGGGGAGAATGGAGACAAGGTGAGGCTAATGAATATTTGATGGCAACAAAGAATAGACCATCATAATGTGTTTCTTACGTCTTAGGTTATTTCCTCCTTTTTGAGTGTTATAATGAAAGTTACTGATTATATTGTTGTTTTTTGTATCTGTTTAACAGGGAGAGCCTGGTGTAAACGGGCAACCAGGAACAAAGGTAAAATGTCTTCCTTAATGAATAAGTATTGTTGTTTTATCCAAAGTTGTAAATATTAAGTCGATTACATTTACCTGTAAATGATGTCTCTTCTTTTTCCTAAACCAAATGTTTTCTATGAAGTCCCCCTCTCCTTTTCACCCCACCTTTTCTCCTGCTCCTAATATCCAACATCCAAATCTTTATCTACTTTTTTTATTTAAAGGTGACCTATCATGCAAAATGCACTTTTGTACGTCTTGTATACATGAATATGTGTCCCCGGTGTTCCAGGGAACTCACCAAGTGTCAGAAAACACAACCCTCTCTATTTTCCTCCATACCCAAATCTCTTAAAAAGGGGCTGCAACGGATCTGATACAGACTGATCCAGATTTGAACACTTCTGTGACATCACAGAAGTGGCGCTACGGCTATTGGGCAAACTCCACCAATCAGGAGGAGACAGCCACGGACATTGCCGTTCGAAAGCGCTGGAGACGCTGTAGTACATATGCCAGGCCTGTAGATGGTGCTGTTCTCACAGAATCAGCCCATGATGCAAAGACAGTGTTAAATTGAGCGAAATGAGGAATGGCTAAAATGCATGATCTGTTTGGTATTTTGAAAAATAAAACGTATAAATATGCCTTATATAGGTATGGTCCTACACTAAATTATTCAAATATAGCATGATAGGTCCACTTTAACTTACAATAGGATTATTTTAAATGGGGTCTTTCTCGTCTTGCAGGGGGATCAGGGTCCTGCAGGGTTTCCAGGCCAGCCAGGCTCAGAGGGTCCAGAGGGGCATCCTGGACCCCGGGGGGCACCGGGCCCTCCTGGCCCCCCAGGGAGAGGCTATTCTATGGACTTTGAGGTAAGGACTCTATCACGTCTTCAAAATCAAGATTTTAAGATGTTATTGACATATAGCAAATGTGTTCGCAAATACAATCTGAAGTCACATTCTCCTCCAACAGTCCAACATACAGTATATTTAAAATACATTTTAAAATTAACAATACAAATGCAAACATTTTTTGTGCATTTTATTAGGACTTGGAAGGCTCCGGGATGCAAAGTGGATTTGGATCAGCACTTTCCAGAGGCCCAGAGGTAAAACCGTGTGACAACGTGAAGAGAATTCAGCGCCATCATATTTCATGATTTTGCTTAATATCCCTTATCATACATTATGTTATAGATTAATGTACTTGATGCTTATTGCTTGTTACGCAGGGTCCTGCAGGTGTTCCTGGAATTCAAGGACCCAGGGTGAGATAACTTTGTTAAAGCTTGGGTTTTTATTATGTAAGGGCTCACACTTAGTTTTGGTGTTTATGTTGTTTATATTGTATTTCTTTAACAGATTTATTTTGCTATTCATAGGGTAAAGATGGTTTGGATGGGGGCGCAGGAAAGCCAGGGGAAAGGGTAAGTCTTCTGTCACTTTGTGTTTCGCTTTTATGTTCGCTTTCTAAATACAGTTTTTTGGGACAAACTGTTTAAGTTAAGTTTTAGGTCAAAGTGAGTCTAGAGTGAAATACCACTTGGTTCCTATTTTCACCGCAAACTGTGTAATGAGAACTTGACTTTAACATAATCATTTTTTAACAGAAAGCCATGTGTGAAGTAGACTTTAAACTAGTCATTTTGACGGCATTTGTATTTGAGAACATGGAGCCTAGAGAATGCTTTATGTTTCCTGGTGGTGTCTGCAGGGGGAGAAAGGTGCCACAGGGTCCCCAGGGTTTCCAGGACTGGATGGATTCAAAGGGGAAGAGGTCAGTAACTGGGTGAACTAAAATACATATGTAGTATTTAATTCAACTTTTGCAAATGGTTTTGACCAATTAAGATGCATTTTAATGGATCACTTCTGATTCTAAAATATAGCTGCAAGTTTATTAAAAGCTCTTGTTGTAATTTCTAAAATAATCCAGAAAGTAATTTACAGCATATGCATTTCAACAACACGTGTAAGGTGTGAAATATTCTCCTAATACTGAAAGATGAATTTGTGTCCTCTTCAGGGGCTGAAGGGGGACAAAGGAGATCCAGGACACACGGTAAAACTTGATTGGATATGTGACGAGGCGCAAATCACACATGAACACACCTTTCTAAAAATGTAAAGGCTAAATGGTTATAACATAATTTCTTCAGGGTGAAGTGGGACGAGACGGGCTCAGTATTCCAGGCCCTCCAGGACCACCTGGACCCCCAGGACCCCTCATCAACCTGCAGGATGTGAGTAGCACCTGAAACGCCCCCTGTTGATTCTTTTATTTTTTGTACAGACTTCCCCACTTCATTACCGACATTAAGACCATTATTTGTTCTATTCTTAAATCAAACAGCCTGACTATTTTTGCCTGTAGTGAGTTAGTTTGATTACATTGACAACATGCTCTTCCTGCCCCTAACACAGCTTCAATTAAACGATACGGATGGCACCTTCAACTTCTCAGGGATTTCTGTGAGTATCAGAAAATAAATGATTGTGTTGTATTTGCAGATATATGAAAACATGTATAGAAAGTGTGTTCAACTTTATAACTGTATTGAGAGTCCAGCAGTTGGATGAGTTATTGTATTTCCTTGTTGTTTGCAGGGTCCTCAGGGTCCAAAGGGGGACGGAGGGTTGCCAGGAGTTCAGGGACCTCCAGGAATTAAAGTAAGTGACACATGCTCTGCTAACATACAATATCTAAACAGATATTTATACTCTCACAACAGTCAAGTCAATATCTTTCATATTTCTTTGTTTGTTTTAACATTGTTGTCATTTACTAATGTGTGTGTGTGTGTGTGTGTGTGTGTGTGTGTGTGTGTGTGTGTGTGTGTAGGGTGAAAGAGGGGAGCCAGGGTTGGTCCTCGCAGACGACGGATTGATGTCGTCGGGCCTGGCTGCTGCACCAGGAGTCAAGGTTATATTTCGTTTTTTACTTTAGATATTCTAATAATTGTTGTTTTTGTTTGTGTTTGAGCTTAATATTGGTATTTATCTATGTATGCATGTTGTTCAGGAGAAACAGTTCACAGTTTTTGTAAAATAAGTCAAAAGCATTCATTTTTCATTGGATCTTGTGTTTTTTCACATCTGAACTGATGTTTGTTGGTTGCTCGTAATGTATTTTTGTAAAGTCCCTTTAAAATGTTTATTTGTTTGCAGGGCGATCATGGTTTACCTGGACCTGTTGGAATTCAAGTAAGTATTAGCAGCAAAAATGTCACCTTTTAATGTTCTATAGCACCGTGAGCGTTCCTTTTATTTCCACTGCTATAGATAAAGGTTCTTTGAATGCATTAAAAGTACTGTCAGTCACCTTGTCGTGTTCCCAACAGGGCCCGACCGGACCTTCAGGACCAAAGGGAGAGTTTGGTTTTCCTGGAAGACCTGTAAGCACCATGAACTCACCAAAGATATTTCATTTGGTTAAAATGTGCACTGACACTTTCTGATATTACCGGTTGGTTCTTTGATCAGGAAATCCAGATTTAAAAAAATATATGTGTTGTAGGGTCGTCCAGGCACGATGGGGCTTAAAGGAGAGAGAGGGGACGCTGCAGGCCTGCCGGTGAGTAGAAAACAACTAAAATAATGGATCAGAAAATGGAAAGGAAACCTGTAGTGATTGATATGTGATGGAATGTGCACTTAAGATGACTTTGTCGCTTTAAATCAATGTATACTTTAGATTGTTGAAATGTCTCTTTCTTTCTCCAATTTTGTGAGGTTTTTTGTCTTCTTTAATTGTTTGTTTAGGGACTTCCGGGCCCTGCAGGGCTGCCGGGCCGCCCAGGAATATTCAACTGTCCCAAAGGAGTAAGCGCGCACACACACACATGCACGCCAACACACACACACATTCCTTAACTAATTGTAGAGCTTCGATTCTCCACCCAAACCTGATGGCGCTGAATTATTTTTGAAGTTCTCCCCAGGGCCCTAAATCTGGCGTGGCTTGCCCGGGTTATCAGGTTGGGATTTTTTTGGAGGCTTTCATTGTCTGTAATATCATGAATTATGTAAAGGCAAGTAATAATAACAGATGAACACATTTTAATAATTCAATAATGATTAGCAGCAAGTAAATGCATGAATATGAAATAACTTTGATAACATTTGAAGAATGGCACATTGAGATTTTGTAGACTTCATTTTGTAAAACTTCTTTGAATATATATATTTTAAAAAAGAATTGAGAGCTAGGTGGAAGGATATTCAGGATTTCAGTCGGACTATAGCTCAAAACATGTGGTTCCCCTCTGCAGGTAGGTGTGGGGTTGCGCCATATTGTTAATCCAAAGGGAAGCTCTTACACACAGTTCTGACTTAATTCTCCTCAGTCATATCGTACATAACATTTACTCACTGTCCTCTCCCTCTCCTCTGGTTTCTGAAGACCGTGTTCCCCCTCCCCCCAAGACCCCACTGCAAACAGACCGTAGGTTTCTGTCTCTGTAACCAAACGACACGTAAAGCACGTCTTCATAAATGTGTTTCTTTGCAGCCTGCGCTCAGGAACTTCCCGCTTTCTCTATATCCCTAATCATACTTTCATGGTGGACTAAGGGTTTAAAAAACATTAATTGTAGTCGATTAAAGAAGCTACTATGCATGTTTAATTTCCTTATTGATTGAAATCTAATCTGCATTCTTAGTCTCATCACTTAAGTATCACATCAACAGCCTGCTGAGCCCATTCACACATAACTTCCTTTCCTTTTGTTTACACATAAAGTGCATGTTTCTCTGTGTAACTGGTACTGGTACCCCCCCCCCCNGAAGAAATCAGTTCCACATTTTTGCTAAAGACCGTCCGCTGCTTATATATGGCTCAATCTGCAACCCTGTTAACAGTCAGGTGGTGTGCCCAAATGCACCATATATAAGCAGCGGACGGTCTTTAGCAAAAATGTGGAACTGATTTCTTCATGTTTTCCAGGTTCAGTTTGGCCTGATTTACAAATAACTAAAGCAAAAATCGGGAAGTGATTGTGATTAAAAAGACATACTATAAAAGTCATAAATACTGGAGGTAAAAAAAACAACTCCAAAAGCATTGAGTTTGTATTGCTCTCTTAAGAGGAATGTAATAGACCACCAGGCACTGATTTAATCAAGAGGAGACAGTGACATCTCAGCAGTAAGAAATCTTTTCCAAATACTCTTTGACCCATTTCTGAATCCAGAGAATATCTGAATCAGACATTGATGGTTCCCTGTCTGCCTGTCCTCTAGACGCTATACTTTCTGTGTTGTCAGAGGGAAAGACCTGCCAAACATTCCTACAGCTCAGCCTGTCACTTCCCTCCGCCTGTGCCCGAAAGTGACTTCACTGCAGATGTTCCTCCTCTGGGTCAGAGACTAACAGCTGGACACATCGCCATGGCAACTAAGATACACTCTCAAGTTCTCAAGTTAGCAGGGAAACCTCGAGAGCTTCGCAAAATCAGTGCTCGTCTCGCGTCATGACAACGACACAACAATCATCTGATCGTGTTGTGGAAATGTGGCTGGATCGATGATTGATGAAAAAATAAAAGCAGTGAAAGTCTAAAACAAAGAAGACATTTCACTCGATGGCTGCTGCGAAACATGCAGCGTCATGCATCTGGGAGGAAAAAGCTAATCCTGTTCAAAGAAATGTGGCCGAATGCATTGTCGCATGTTAAGAATACTGTGAATGATGAAAGCAGAGCAGTGGAAATGTAAAACATCCCAGTGTGAGAGCTGTGAGAAACTTGTGAGTAATTTGTGTGAGGGTGTGACTGCTCAGTGAAATCAGGCTTGGCTGAGTCCGAGGGCCACCTGCGCTGGAGCAAGGAGAGAGATAGACGAGCAGAGGAGTAGAGTGAAACAGTCCTGAAGCTCACACAGTAATAACTTCAAGGTGTATGAAGGATGTGAAGACGATGCCAAGTGATCAAGTCTATGAGTCACTGAGGAATAACTCTAGGCTTTAGTGAAGGAGGAACTCCCTTTTCCTGGGAAGAGCGCGATGCGTTGGCCATTAAGAAACATGGAGATTAGTTCAACTCAGTGACAACAGGTTTCATCTCATATATGACTTCAAGGGAGAATATTTTGAATTTCTGGTTATTTTATGTATTGGGATATTTCAGAGAATAATTGACCAATGCAAAGTAAGATGCTAGTTTCCGGTGATGAAAGACAACTGACTTCTTTCAATGTCAAACAAAAGAAAATTACAAAAACTCATGAAGTTGAAAAACTCAAAAGACATTTTTATGAGGAAATAATAAAAAAAAAAAGTCTGGTTTGAAGCTAAAATGTTAATTACTACACTAATGATGGATGAATGTGTTTTCCTGTTTCTACAAACTGCAGCATTCCACCATAAGAACATTTGACTAATAGCTTAATTGTGTGTGTGTGTGTGTGTGTGTGTGTGTGTGTGTGTGTGTGTCTGTTTCCTCTCTGAATGAGCATCACACACTGCAGAGCTGTTTCTTTAATGGCTCAGTGTGTTTGGGGAGCCTCTGACTGAATGTCCCTGTGTGACACATTGTTATGGCAAAATGCAGACTGCCTGTTTGACATAGCCCAAAGTGCAGCGCCATGCTCAGCAGCACTTCAAAGTAAATCAGATTTCCATTTACGGCCTCTCACTTTGTTAACAAAAATGACTGAAGGCACAACATCTGTATGTATGGATGGAACTCTAATGAACCCCAAGCTGGTACCTCTACTTAGTGAATATCTGCATCACTCTTTCTCTAAATATGTGGATATGATATAGTGGGTGGTAAACACAAAGCTAAATGATACAAAGCACATTCATTCAATCTTTGACTGGAACTGAAATTGGATGATTTAAAAAAAAAAAAATCTAACTGCCACAAGAACAAAAGTAGTACTACTGGAGTGAAAACTGATGAAACCAACACCACAGCACTCCGATAGGGAAAATGCTTTGTTTGTGCAACACTTTTTGTGCACCACTATCATATTCTTACTTGGGGAGGTAAATGGAGCCCACACACGTGAATAATACACACACACCTTGCTCAACAGATGGACAGCGTCCTCTCGTACACCCACTGCAGAATGTGCACTTTTGCTGAAACTGCATTTGCAATGGAACAGGTGATTTTAAGCTCAGCTTGACTGATATAATCTGCAGGAGTATTCCAAGTCTACGACACATTACAGGGAGCATGGGGGTGCAGCTTTGGCTATGCTGTATTCCATATAACAGTTACAGTTTTGGGCTATAGGGTGCTTTTTACTTGGACATGCAAAGATTCAGTATTAAGGCCTAATCAGAAAAAAGGTCATAATAATGCTGTGATGAAGGACACTGTCAGTGAGGCCTGGAGTTCGTAATGAACTGTTAAACCTAAAGAGAGGCTGAGTAAAGGGAAGCGTATCAAACATCAATCATCCATAACGACACATTACAGCATGTGCCGTACAGAAAACTCTGTTTCAGCCCAACAATGCAGAACCAACAGCTCATAAACTTTATCCAGGTTTAAGAGCTGCAAACCCTCAGGGTTACACTCTGCGGCTGTGGTCACGCCACATCTCTCTCTCTCTCACACACACACACACACACACACACACACACACACACACACACACACACACACACACACACACACACACACACACACACACCCATCTCAGCGTCATCATGTTAACCCTTCGAAATGCCATGTGATCCTGTTTTAACATCTGTGAATAAAAGATTGTTTTAATGAACTATGGAGAGAATATTAAAACAAGATGGCAATATAATGGAAACAATGAATTTCTTGCATAAAACGGTTACTTCTTGCCAGCCCCTTTCACACATGCACTGCAATCTTGAAACCATTTAGACATTATCAGAAGGAGCTTAATGGGAGAATGCAAACAGAGCATTTTAAGTATGTGTTTCAGTCCTGTTGAATGATACATGTGTGAAAGGAAAACTCCTGACATTGCGTGGACCCGATTCTACTACAATTATCTGGAGTTTGTTTGAGAAAATGGAGTGACCCTGAATGCCACAGGGGGAAAGCTGCAACATTAAACATACTTTACCCTGAGTGGTCGTTTGCAAAAAGTCTGTGTAATGTACGATTGAGCCCACGTCAATCTCCTGTTGCGTGCTCTATATGTAAGGCTTTTATAATATACATGTCCGACTGTCCCTGAATGCAACAACAAGGAAAGCTGCAGCTAACATTTGCATGACAGGAAACAAAACTTGGCAAAAACAACAAGCCTACAAATAATTACATTTGATTAAAACAAACTGCTGCTTTGATATCACTGAATCATAAACATATGTCATTTGGGAAATGAGTATTGCAATAGTTAAGCATGATTGTTTTTGCTTTAAAAGGTTTAAACATAAAATGCCACGCCTGTAGTTTGGTAAGATTGAATGCAACACACCAGTCACTTCACACCTGTGGGGTTTTAAAGAGGCTTACAGCCAGATGTTCCTGTCAGATCAGTGTTAGAGTACATTTAAATAAATAACCCCTTTGGATAAATAATCACTTAAAAAAGGGATTTCCTTTCTATTCTGCCCTGTTTTGCAAATAGGGATTAACTCTTTCAAAATGTTTCCTCAGGTAGACAAAACAAGCGTCCTCACATCCTTTCCTTCAGAGGCTCCTGGTGTTTGATTGACAGCACAGAGGTGATGTCAGCCATGTGTTGCAGTGAAACGCAGGAAGCTGGAGGTAAATGACTGAGACCACACAGTGTGTGTGTTTAACTCGAGAGCGTACACAAGTGAGTGTGTGTGTGTGTGTGTGTGTGTGTGTGTGTGTGTGTGTGTGTGTGTGTGTGTGTGTGTGTGTGTGTGTGTGTGTGTGTGTGTGTGTGACACCAGGTGAGGTTAGAGGCCTCCCGTTAACACAAAGCTGCTCTGTTAGTGTCGAGCTAAAGAGCAAAGAGCGTGCAGTCATTAAGAAGAGCGGAGAAGTGTTAGCGCTCTCACTGTGAGCAGAGACTCAGACATGTGTGTTCAGTGGGATGTCAGAAACAAAAGGCTTTCTTCCATTATGTCTACTGGTAGAGATGCATCTCGACTGTGTTAGCGTAGCACCGTTGCAGTAATGTGTTTATTGACTTTAGGACACTTTGTTAGGAAAGCAAAATATTATTATTAAGATAATGTAATACATTGTAAGTATGTTTTTAGCCATGAAAAGAAATCTCCTGTATATCCTAAGAGGGCAAGATTATACTGCTAATGCTAGCGATTTAAATTTCCACCCTTGAAATGTATATTTATATAATCTTTGTGAACAGCATGAATTTGTAAATCCGTTAGTGTGGCAGAGTATATTTTCATTATGCATTAAAAAAAGCAGAAAGGGAAGTAAACCACATTTTCTCCCATGAATAATATAAGTGTCCCAATGTCTTTATTTATAGTCTTATAAATGGGGAAAAAAAGGTGTGTGTGTGTGTGTGTGTGTGTGTGTGTGTGTGTGTGTGTGTGTGTGTGTGTGTGTGTGTGTGTGTGTGTGTGTGTTAACTGTATTATGGGACTTATTAGAAGGAGAAAAAAAGAGAGAATCATATATCTTAGGAAAGAGGTAGCACCTGCATATGTGCCTCCTGTATGTTAGGAATGTGATGCTCATAAAGAGGCCTGTGTTCCTACCACAGAAAGACACTATTGCATAAATAATGTGTTCAAGTCAGTAAGCTACCAGATTTGTTCAATTTGATGCAGCTTTTAAGATCCAAAACAGACAGTTAG